ATCACCTGGCCGAGCGACCGCCCATTTTTTGGGCGACCCGTTCGTTTTCTCTGAGCAAAAAAAAATCACCTGGCTGAGCGACCGCCCATTTTTTGGGCGACCCCTCACTCTTTCTGACCACTTTTTTCGATGATGTTTTCAGCATGTTTCAGATGGATTCCAGCAACCGTTGGAGGAGGGCACGAAAATACATTTTTACCGGAGTTACAAGACTCAAAGCCACAAAATGCCCACTTTTCAAGTCTCGTGGATGAAATCCGAGTTGATGCCGAACAAGAACATGCGGATCCAATCCCGTTTCAACCCCAATCCAACGAGGAGACAATCCTTCTACACCAAATCCATCAGAGGGGGATTAAGGCTTCAAAATTCGTATACCATGGAATTCAACCAAATCAACTCTATGAGAGGATCGAGGGGATATTCCAACTCGCCGGATGGGAACGTCTATTCCGCGCCAATCCCCGCACCTACCATTCATTGACAACAGAATTTGCGTGCACTTTCCAATGTTTCATCCCAAGGAATGTCGATCCTCGCAATGGCTACATCGGATTCTGTTTAGAAGGGCACCAATACTATCTCAAGATGGAGCAACTCGCTCAAATTTTGGGTGTTCAAGCGGGCAGCACCGCAACAATCCCAAAGATAACAATCGCCAAGGCTAGAAAATTCTGGATACAAATAGCGGCCACACACTTCACCCCTTGGGAACTCGAAGCCTTCATGATACGACATCCCGCAGTCTGCTACCTTCAGCAATTCATGGCATCCACCCTATTTGCACGCAAGGATACACGAACCGTCTCCATGACGGAACCAAACATGCTCATGGAACCTCTCCACTTCATGATGAACAACCGTCTAGAGGTTGCGGACGTCGCGTCAAGGGTAGCACTGCATATGCACAAGGTAATCACCTCCACCACTGAGTCAATTTGCTTTGGAGGGATCGTAACCATGATTGCAGAGCGATTGGGCATCGATCTTAGAGCATACGCGCATGATTTCATCCACGGAGACAAGATCAACTATATGCATCTTTTGGAGAACAATTTTGTCAAGGAACAAAATGGGGACATATTATGGAGGTTCGTGGACGTCGAGAGTAGGTATTGATCATTCGACATGGCCTATTTTGTGCTACCCCCTCTTACCGAAGAAGGAATCCATTTTGAGGTCTCATCAGACCTCGACACAGACTCCGGACAAGAGTCCTCATCCCACGGGTCCTGCTAAAGGCCCGCTCGGTCCTCTCTCTCAACTCTCACTTCTTTGCATTCATTTTAGCTAACATCACATAGAATTGTAGTTCTCTCACATTGCATAGGTTTCATGGGCTTACGACATCCGCAAAAGAGAAATTGGAATGCAACTCCACCTCATCGAAAAAGGTAACACACTCACCTCTTCCATTCCATTCCTTATTTCTCCTTTGGAATCACTCCACTAGTCGAGAGTCAACACCGTGGACGGTGTTTGATTCAAGTCTGGGGGGAGGAATGCACTAACGCACATCGTACCCATGAACCCTACACATCATGCATCATTTGCACTTAGAATCATGCATTCCATATTCAAAAAAAAAGAGAAAAAGAAAAAAAGAGTCTTGCATTTTGTACATACTTGCATAGATCGTCATCAATAGGTTGCATATGTGCATATAGGTCTAGGAATGCATGACGATGGGTTTTATCCCTTCAGATGCATCAACCAGAGTCCATACTTGGTTGTCTGACATGGATTGCATCTCGGACTTCATAGCCTCGCGCCATTTCTCGGAATCCGGACTCGCTATAGCCTCTGGGTATGTGGTAGGCTCGTCATGTTCTAATAACATGAGTTCCTCATTTAACCGTTTGGTTATAATTTTATTATGCAAAAATTGGACCGAACCGAACCTAATAAATCTATATAACCGTTTGGGTATGATTTTTTTATAACTGAAATAATCGAACCCGAAATAACTGAACCGAAACCCGAAATGGCCACCCCTAGTCATCGATGCAAGGAGGAGGAAGAGAAAAGACAGCGTCGAACTCCTAGTCCCTTTTATTCTGATATATTCGATTGGTTTTCGTATCTTTCTTACCTATAAGTTTGTCAAGAGTTACTCCTTGTTCGTGCCCTTCCACACCAGCGAGTACTTTTCGCCTTCATCTGTATTTGACATATCACAGACGCATCAATTTTCGTCTAGTTCGTCCTTGAACTACACTGTATTGGGAGGGTATCGACTTTGATATCATTTATAAGATCTCGTACAGATGTTGAAACTACCCCCACCGATGAATACAAGTCATTCAACGTGATTTATCCGCACTCGCCCACATCTCAGAAGTACTTCCCAAGAGATCACCCATTGTAATACATTTGACTTTGAAATTCTTTCAAGATAGACAATCGAATAGATAAATACGTCATATTGGTATGAATAACTCAATCAATTCATTTAAGTTATCTTTGACCGTATAGTCTCATACTTATACATCGATCGGATCTCTCTCATTACGATGCATTCGATTCGTCTCTATATCCCTCCTATCTAGAAGCCTATCAGGAGTCGCTCTTTATCTATACCCTTCCATATTGGCGATCACTCACCACCTTCATCGGTACTCGTGATGTCACGATACAAGTATTTATGCATGGAAAAGATTTAAAGAGCACAAAAAATTGAATATTCGAATGACATTATATGAGCACAAGTAAAGAGGTTACAAATGGTGTTTGATTGCGTGTTTCAAGAGAGTTTTAGGCAAGAACTTGATCTTTACAAGTTTGGGAGCAAAGAACAACTTTGTTCAGAGAAATGACTCAAGACGAGTTAAATTGACTCGATCCGAGTTGAAATTATTTTGCTCCAAATGAAACAGTTTTTCATTTTTTTTTTCAAACATTTGATTAGTGCGAGTTGAATTGACTTGATATGATTTGCATTGTGGCGAAGCTTGATGAGTTGCATTAGAATGATTTATTTATATTGGTTTTGGTGTCTTTGAGACTTTTGATATTATTTTTGAGTCAATGGTTCTTCTTTTTCGGTCTTTAGTACTAGTTCTAACTTTGCGATTGGGTTGTTGCTATCCATATTTGTGACGTTTTCTACCCGTTTTCAATGTTTTTTAGTTGGGTTTGGATTGAATTCAAAAAGTTATTAGGGATTGAGGCTAATTTTAGGTTTGCTTCAATATGGTGTAACGGTTTTCAGGGCATAAGTTAAATGTTAGGTCTAGACTTATTTGAAAAGTTCAAATCGGATTTAACCTATGAGAAGTCTAGTTCGTATAAAATATTAAAAATTCTTTGATAAAAAATATGAAAAATTGAGTATTTATTCTTGATTTGATTTGATTTTTAAAAAATCAAATTAAAACTAAATTTATAAAAAAATTTAGCATTTATTATTAATTGGTATCAGGAATCATATTAGAGTTAATTACAAAATCAAATCTCGTGTTAATTCTAATTGATTTTATTATTAATACAAGATACCCTCTCTTTTGATATAAATATGAGTGTTAGATTGTCTACAAAATATATAAACAAAAAAATTCATATATTTTTCTCTTTGTCCATATTTTTTCTAAGCTTTTTTTTTTTTTTATGAAACGTGATTGGTGTATATTCCTTAGCTAAAAAGACCATAGAGTTTACAAAATTCATTCAAGAGACGAAATATAAAAATTAATGGGATTTCCATGAGCAATTGGACAAAAATATTACTATTCTGCAGGATCTAGTACAAAAATCTCATATATTCGGGTTATTGGATTTGAATATATTTGATAGAATCAAAACGAATTTAGTCCGTGAGAAGTCTAGTTCATGGAAAGTTCTATAAACTTTAATAGAAAATCTGCAAAATATTGAGAGAATATTCTTGATTAATTTAAAAAATCAAATTAGAATAAAATCTACAAAAAATTTATCGATATAATATAAAAATAAAATCTGATTGATTTTATCTTGAGATTCTCTCATTTAATATAAATAGGAGTCTTGGGTTAGCTCACAACATAGAAAAGAAAAACAAATAATCTAGAGAAAAAAGAGTATCAACATATTTGTTTATATCTCTCAGACTTCGCTTGGTATTTGGAAAAGATTCTTCGGAATATACGGTCATTGTATCATGGGAGTTCACCGTGCTTCAATAATCTAGAAGTTTTAGAGGTGGTACGAAAATCGAATTTAAGAAAACTGTATTTTATATATCTCAACAAAATATTTTTTTATTATAGGTAATTATCTAGGATCATTGGAATTGTCGAAACTTTGCCGTCGTCAACAACCCTCGTTCCCTATAGGGACCACATAAAACCAATGCTCTAGCAAGCTTTCGTTTGGTCACGAAAGTTTTTATACAATATACGGTCGTTATATCACGTGAGTTCATTGTACTCTAATTATTTTGAAAATTTGGAGATGGTACCTCAAGCTTAGACATATCATTTTTTTTTACTATAGGTATTTTTGAGATTATTCAACTTGCCGATAAAATATTTGTTCACAATTTTTTTTTATTGCACGTACTTTCGAGTTACGGCGTGTCTTGTCGGCCCCAACCTCAACTACCCCTTTACCCTCCATATAAAACATTTCGATATGGTTCAATGTTTCCTTGTTGGTTCTGGCTTTATCTACCTAACATTTCAATTCTAAACTTCGTATACCTTTTTACTGAGATATATTCTAGTTTCCATTTTACAAGATTATATCCGTTAGATGTTTATATCGATTTTTTATTTGTTTTATTTTATATTTAAATTAAATTATTTTCCCCTGAAACTTTTGTAATTATCTTTCAAATATTTAGTTGGCTTTACATTTAATTCGTTTTAGAAGTTTGTATTCAACGGTTTTTGCATCTTTATTCAATTTGATTTCCCTGTGATTAATTACAGCGCAACACAAAATAAAAAATTTCTAATGACTTTTCGGTTTCTCTGTATACCTTTTGAGAAGTGGTCCAATGAGCTTTTCGGTTTCCCCCTGTACATATTACCCCCCTCCTCCTCCCTCTCTCTCCACTCAGGCTTGTCTGCCGTCGCCTCCGGTTCTCTCTCCACCGTCGGCTTCCTTCCCTTCTCTTTCCGCCGGTGGATTCAGTCTTTCACTTCTCCGCCGTCGGCTCGGGTCTCTTCTCTCTCTTTGCCGGTAGATATCGCGGTCAGATCTCCGCCCTCGCCGCCGTCTTCTCTCACCTCCGACGGTAGTCTTTGTCATCAATTTCTCCGCGGCATGCTTCCCTCCTATAGCTCTGTCTTCGGCCTGCGTTGACATTCTCTCCACCGTCGTGTTCGGCCCTTTCTCTCGACTCGCCGTCGTTCCTATTCTGTAGCAGTTAGGTATGATAGATGTTCCCTAGATTCTAATCAAAGTTCACCACCGCCATTACCTTGCTTGTAACTATAGTATATAGTTGAATGTGAACAATTTCCAGGTAAACATTCTATTTTTGTTAGGTGAATTTCGACCGTACAAGTTGATGATTTGTTCTGCAGTAATAAATAATCGATACTTTTCGATTCATGTGAGGTTTAGTCGGGGATATATCTCCCTCCTGTCATTAGGAGTGTACTGGTTCTAAAAATCTTGAATTTATATGATGATTCTTCCGATTTCCCAAATTCTTCTGCACTTTTTCGTCAGCTATTTTATTCTTGAATTATCCTTGATATGTGTAGTTTAGGAATTGAAATTCTGTGTTGTGAAACCCGCAAATTCATTTGATTGCTTCTTGGTTCTGTGACTTTGTCGTTTCATTGTTTTGGCAGTTTCTTTTTCATTAATCATCACTTGTTATCTCCTCCCAGGTAATAGCACGATGAGCTACAAAAGTAATACAGACTTTTCCCATGGTGTTGTGGCTATCAAATCCGAGCCAGGCGCTCTTGGAACCTATGTGAATCAACAGAACTGTCATGGTAGCCATAATTCTGGAGGGCAACTGCAAAGTCAAGATTCGGGAGAAAATAGATGTTCAACAGTTCAAAGCACTGGGCAGAGTAGCACCAGTGTAGTGGAACAGGTTCAATCGCCTATTGACGATACTGGTGGCACTTCATCTGGTATATGTCCACCTCCAATATGTCGTCAATTCTGGAAGGCAGGAAAGTATAATGATGGATCTGGTTTGGAGGCCCGTGCTCGTCATTCAGGTCAGCTATGATAAGTTATCACTTTTTTTCTTACTTTTTTGTCGTTGTTGTATCTGGTATTTATCCATTTTTGTTGTAGTGTACCGGATGATTGGCTTTAGTGGCCATACGTTCGAATTCAGTATTTTTCTATGACTAACAAAATTTTTAGTCTGAATGCTTGAATTCTTTTTTGTTACCTCTTCCTATGCTTTGGTTTCTGAGTTGTAGAACTATATATCAGTAATAGAACTTGCTTGCTTATGGCTCTTGACAAATGTATTACAGATGGAAAAAATTATCTTCATGTCCATCCGATGTTCCTTCACTCAAATGCTACCTCACATAAATGGGCTTTTGGTGGTAAGACTAAATAACTATAATTTTCCTGAACCCTTTTTTTTTCTCTTTCTAATATGGTCAATCAACATTATTCTGTGTTTTGACACGGCATATTGGGTTCTGTATCTGCAGCCATTGCTGAACTGCTTGACAATTCTGTTGATGAGGTGATTCTTGATTTCCTTTTTCTGACGTGTTCAGTGCTTTTTATTTTTTCTCTTTTGGAACAGTTGTGTTCATTGCTATAATGTTGCTTCTGTTTGTTCATTGCTGCTAATTGTTTGAAGTTTGAACACAGTCCTTTAGATCACATTTGTTTCTGGGAACCCTACTGTTAGCAGAAAAGTGAAAATTCCTTGCAGTCTGCGCCTTATTGCTTGATATTAATTTTTTGAGTCATAAAGTTTACTTTTTGTCAGCTTCTCCTTTTCCGTTTTGATTTTGAAAGGAAAATATCAATGACTCCTATTAGTGGACTGTGGAGTTTCTATTTTTCCCCCATCCCGAAAAGAATATATAAGAAGTGCACATTAACCTTCAGATTTATGTGTTTTCCCTTAACTGCACATGTCACCGGTATAAACATTCATATTCTAACATGAGAAAGATCTTGATGGTGAACTTTCCTCCTGGTAGAAACATGTTTCATTCTCCAACTACAGTGTCATGTGTTTCATTGAGGTTGAAATATATCCTAAACGTTAATAGACCATGTTAAAGTTCTGAACTATAACTTATTATAGTGATTTATGCTCGGAATCTTAATTACCCTATAGATCCAAAATGGGGCCACTTTTGTCATTGTAGATAAAATCACAAATCCAAGAGATGGTATGGCAGCACTGCTTGTTCAAGGTATCCTATATGTTCGACAGCTTTTCTTTATTCAGTTTTTTTTTGGAATAAGTCCATTTCTTTGATGTAATATGGAAAAGAAAGACTTAACTAATTATCTTTCCTTAAAATTTTCAAGATGATGGTGGCGGGATGGACCCGCAGGCAATGCGTCATTGCATGGGTTTTGGATTCTCGGATAAGAAATCAAAATCAGCCATTGGAAGATGTATAACATTTTGTATTTTCTTCACATGTGCATGTTTTCTTGCTTTGTTGCTCATATCTTTAATCGCGACTCGTTAGATGGAAACGGTTTCAAGACGAGCACGATGAGACTTGGGGCAGATGTAATAGTTTTCAGCCGCCATTTAACGAACAAGTACGTTCAGTGTGATTTGCAGCTCTATTTTTACATATTTTATGGTTTCTAACTGCAGCTGTCTTTTGCCGCCCTAATATACGTTTTCTTAAAGAATACTGTAAAAAAGTAAATGATTTAAGTTTGTCGTCCTGCTGGTATTGTTTTAATCATTTCTGCATTACTCAATTCTCTAAACAAGAGGGGTGCTGATTGGTTTTATTTCTGTCTCTCTGACCAGGACATGGACACAGAGCATTGGTCTCCTTTCTTACACATATCTTACACGAACTGGCCATGATAGAATAGTTGTTCCCATGGTGAGTCGGTCTCCATCTTTAATTCCTGTGTTATGAATCTTTTTTTAGTAGTTCACCCTTATTCACCTTATGCTATGTGATAATTCAGTTGGATTACGAGTTTAACAAGGCAACAGGCAGATTTGAGATGCTACAAAGTAGAGATCATTTTGTACAGAATCTTGCCATTCTACTAGAATGGTCTCCGCTTTCCACAGAAGCAGAACTTTTGAAGCAGGTAAGCTTATCCATTTCCACCCCTCCTAACCTCATGTTCCAGATACTCTTTCCTTACAATCTGGATGTTTTTACTGTACTTGGGGCGTCATGTGATTTATCCAGTGTGTTATGTGAACTATTGATCTTTCCCAATTTTTGTTCGGTTGCTGTTGATAAATTCTTTTTTGGGTTTTATTTTTGTTATGATTACTTTTTAATAGTTTTTGGTGGTCTCAACCCCATTCCTCTGCCCCCGTGTTTTTTCTTTATGTTGGATTTTTCAGCTAGGCTGGCATTTATTTTCCTCTAACGTCAAGATATTAAAAAGCCACATAGGTCTGTTAGTTGATAAGATGGATGAAGTCAATATTCTTATGATACCATACGCTGCCTGTAGTTAGGATTAGATTACGGCTTATTGATATTTTCCCTGCAAACACTCCAATGTCTTTAGAAAGCTGAAGACAATAAGATAATTAAAATTAATCTTTTTGCAGCTTTGTTGCATGTGAATGAGTTTTTAAATTAGTTGTCCTGCAATGTTTACATGGGGAGTTTTTAGTATCTTGTGTATAAAGTTGGATTTTTTGTTTGTTTTAGATTTCGCTCTGCTTAAACATCAAATCATCAAGTCTTTCAATTTGAATTTTATTTTGTAGCACATTTTTCAATATCTGAAAATTTTTGAGGTTTACACGTTGCTACTCTGGATCTCCTTGTGAGTGGTGTTTAAACGCATACAGAGCTTCTTGGTACAGTCCTAACTTCATGATTTTTGTTGCAGTTTGACAACATAGGGCCTCATGGGACAAAGATTATCATCTATAATCTCTGGTTCAATAACGATGCTAAATTGGAATTAGACTTTGATTCAGATGTTGAGGTTGATTTTCTTTTATCTTTCACATTCTTTTTTATTTCCAAGATTAGCATATTTCTCAGATTTGACTTTATTGCTTGTTCTTCATAGGATATTCTCATTGAAGGAAGCATGAAAAAAGTTCAAACTATTCCTGGTTGGAGGGATGTTAATGAACAACATATTGCAAACCGGTTCTCCTACTCACTTCGTGTAAGCTTGTTTCACAATAGTGTATAGAGGAACAATAATATGCTGATATTCATGCCATGTGTTCTGATATAGCATAAAATTCTATGGAAGTATGCCCACATGCATGAATATTTACTAATACTTAGGGAGACACGTTGCCCAGAAACATTGATTAGTGTGCTACAACCAGTTTTGTATCAGAAACCATATTTGCAACTGTCATTGCACGTGCACAAAAATATATTTTGACATACTTAAAGAGACAAGCCTCACTGTAGTGTGTATGCAGGTTTACCTATCCATATTATACCTGCGGATTCCTGAAAATTTCAAGCTAGTGTTGCGTGGTAAAGTTATTGAGCATCATAACATTGCTGATGATCTCATGTATCCACAGTACATTTTGTATAAACCTCAAACTGGTGGATGTGTGGAGGTGCGAATAACTTCTGGAAATTTTTGGTGTCCTTTATTTTCTTTACAAACCATTTAGGTGTTTTCCTTTCTGTTAATTAGATTCTTTGGTTCAACACAGGGCGAAGTTGTAACGACAATAGGATTTCTGAAAGAAGCTCCTAAAGTAAATATTCATGGCTTCTGTGTTTATCATAAGAATCGTCTAATAATGGTGAGTTTTAAAAGGTGTCAGTTCTTAATTCTATAGAAAAATGTTCTAAATCTCGGATGCTGCTGCAGTGTTTTTTGTTTTGCCATTAAAATGGCATTTGGTTGTACGTTCTAACTCTCATGACACATCAAAATGTTGCTGGACTCATTTACATAGATACAAGCATGCAAATATATGCTATCAACTTCGTTAAAGAAGACAAGTTTCTCTTGCCTGTATATGGTTCCCTGGAAAAATAGTTATTCCATTTGGATCTGGCATAAGAAATTTCTTGCCATTATCAGAGTATTTCTCTACTCTTGTATATTGCATTGACCTGGTATGGATTCTCTGCTCTTTTCAGCCATATTGGCAAGTCGTTAACTATTCAGATAGTCGGGGAAGAGGAGTAGTTGGTAAGAAGCTGCATGCATTGTTAATCTTTTTTTCTAACTATAATTTTTGAATTAATATGTAATTAATGCAGTATATGAAACAAATGATTATTGACATCTGCATATCATTTTCAGGTGTTCTAGAAGCTAATTTCGTTGAGCCAACTCATAATAAGCAGGATTTCGAGAAGACTTCCCTTCTTCAGAAGCTTGAGAACCGTCTAAAGGAAATGACATGGGAATATTGGTAATCATGCAAAACCTTAAATTTTTGCTGGCTGTTTTCATGATACTTTTTTTCCTTCCCTTACAAAGTAGATATATGCCTAGTGACTGGTACAAGACCATACAAAATATCCTTCTGTCCTCGCCAAGTAGGGAATTTCAATATTCAAATTATCTCTAAAATTTCTCCTATATGCTTGGATTGACTTTACAACTTTTGGTAAATTTATTATTATTTCTTAATTCATTTTTGTGGTTGAAAATTTTTGAAAGGGACTATCATTGCGTGTTGATTGGGTATCAAGAGAGAAAGAAGCCCCGTATTCGGAAATCTCAAGATATTCTGGTTGACAGTAGGACGTGTAGCGATATTTATCCTCACAAACCTTCTGTAGTTATTGACAGACAAGCAATAACTGCTCCTCCAGGGTTTCAAAAAGCTTTTATTTGTGGTAACTCAGCATCTCTCTCTAGAGCTACAGTTGAACCAGGTAAACACTCAAATAACCTTCTAGACCTCTCTCTCTATGGTTGTTTGACACGCTTTGCAACTAATTTGAACTGTGAAATTTGTAGTCATGGCGATAGCCACTGTTCCATATTCAATATTAAAAATGTTAAAATTTCCTGTTTCATTTCTGTCTTCCATAGTATTCTTTCTATTTGTTGCCATTAGTTGAAGTAGCATTTCTATAAAAATACCAGTTTCCACTAATAAGATATTTTAACGGAAGGCAAATGTTATTTTTCAAGGGAGTCAATTCCAATTGCATGTAAAAGACTGCAGATATAGCTTTCTCGAAAAGCAGTTGTTATTCCTTCTCGGGTCTGGTGGACTGAGAGGCCTGTCCTTTTTAGTCGTTAAAAATACCTTTGGAAATTTCATTTGTGACTTTTAGTAAGCACTGTAGAGGGCTGCTGGTGGTATGTCACAAATGTTGCATGCGTTTTAGTATCAGTTACAAGTGTATGGATGTTATGAACAAACAGAAGAAATACGTTATTACAGTGTTAATTAGTTACATATCATATTATAGTGTATGTTTTATTGTGCAACCACCCCTAAAGCCCTGCCTTACGCATGTCTGTTGGTTGCGCTTTTTCAGTGTTATTGGAAAAGAGGAAACAAGTTCCTGATTTGGTAGAATCTGCAGGGTCAAAACGACATTCTAAAAGTACTACCTGTACAGATTTACAGCAGAATCCAGCCAAGCAGGTAGGGCAATAATGTTTATTTTATTTGATTTCTTCTACAATAGCATTTACCTACATAGCTTTGGCAATGCTTTGTGCAAAAGCCCTGACCTACATAGCTTTGGCAATGAAACATATTAACACATAGGCTCATTTTTTATTCTACTTGTATGATATCTCTGGTGTTGGTAGGACAATTTGTCTTTTTGTTCTTATCTCGTTACCAAAGCACATATCGTTTTGTATTTTGCCTTTTACTTTTTAGCTTCAGTTAATGATCTCTCCCTAGTAATTTATTTAACGATACCTCTGAATGCAGTCCAAAGATCCTAAAATTGTTGGCTTGATGGAAGAAAACAAGAAGCTCCGTGCTAAGTAAGTAAAAAACCCGTCCGTTTGGAGTGATAGTTTATATTTCTCACTTCTAGGACTCGTAATGGTTACATTGCCAAGGAGCCTCATAATTTATTTAAGTTTTCCATCTAATTTATTTATGCTTCTTTAACTCAGATGCTTGGAGCACAAACAGCAAAGCAAAAACCTTGAACTCAAGGTACTTCCTTTTCATGCCAGCAACCATTTTGTGAATTATATTTGATAAAAGAATCAGACTGCTCAGCCATATAGCATAACGACTGCTTATTTCAGGGGTAAATAGCTGTGGAATGGAACATGTTGTGTACTTGGTTAACTTTTATATTACATAAGAACTCCGCTCTTTTGCATCTCGTTGTTTGTCGGTTTCAAATATCGGTCGGCCTACATTCTTTGCCTTGCCATGTTTTAAAATGTTTACAATGCAGGCATCGTGGCTTAGGAGCGAGATCGGGAAAACCAAGCAGCAGTACGAGCGGTTGATTGCTGAGTTTCAGGCCTTGAATGTGGTTAAAGAGGAGCACAACACAAATGTACGTACGTAGATTTTAGGTCTCTTTTGTTTGTTTTCGCTTTGAATCATTCCCTCTCGGCGAGGGCGAAAAGGACGAATCCATTGTATGGATTACATCCCTACTTTTCGTTTCGATACAAAGCTTTAAGCCTTTGTTTCCCTCCTCTCAGGAACGTAATCAATCATTATGGTAATCTATGAGATATATTAACCGATGGAGAGGCATCAATAGGAAGTCTGGATCATTATTTTCCATCAATGATGCAGATCCTGTTTGTCTTTCAAAATTGTGATTGATCTATACCCCGAATCAACTAGGTTGGTGATAGTTTTTATTTTGAATTTTTGGTTTTAATTTTTGATTTTTTGGTTTTTAGTTTTTAGACAATGTTTTTGCACTTTTATAATTTTTATTTTTTTAAAAAACTTGATTGGAAGAGTAATGTTTTAGTTTTATTTTAGATTTTTAATGTAAAATATCAAAAAAAGTTTTTATTTATATGTATAAAGTAAAATTTTCTGTAAAATTATAGGTCTTTTTTGTCTTTTGAATATTTTAATTAATATTTAATAGAAAATAAATAATCTGTTTCCAAATTGTATTTTTTAGAGAAAAATCCCTAAAAATTTCTGAATTTGTATTTTCATATAATATTAATTCCTTAACTTGTAGAGTTGTCTATTAATTCCCGAACTTGCAAAATTGAACACACTAATTACTGAACTTGTTAAATAGTTCCATAATTGTCTTTATCGTTAATTGGTAAAAAATCGCATTGACCTTCTCCGACGTGACGATTTACTTGTCCAGTCAACTCATCAAATTTGTGCCATATACAATTTCTGGTTTTTCATTAATTTGGATTCACAGTGTACCAGGTTCAATATACAAATCGGTCTACAGTAATATTTTGGGTTAAATAAAATCAGGTACCGATCAAAACCCACATTTATCACCCATAGAATCGAAGAAACCCTAAACTTGATTTCTCCCCCAAATTGAGAGAAAATCGGAACCCTGAATCCAGTGATCCCTGTCATCGGTGATTTCGTCGGAATTGTCTTCGGCTGGACACGTAAATCGCCATGTCGGAGAAGGTCAACACGATTTTTTGCTAATTAACGCTAAGAACGATTATGAAACTATTTAACAAGTTCAGTAATTAGTGCGTTCAATTTTGTAAGTTCGGAAATTAATAGAGATCTCTGTAAATTGAGAAATTAATATTATACCAAAATATAAGTTCGGAAATTTTTAGGGTTTTTCCCTATTTTTTAATTAAAATCTAAAAAAATGGTTTTTAGCTTTTCTTTTATTTACTTAACAAAATGGTTTACCGGATTTTTAGTAAAAATAAAAAAATAAAATCTTGATTGAATATTTTTTTGGCTTTTGAAATCTAAAATCTGGAAAATCTCAACCGTTAAGGCCCTAGTCTTAGGGGAAAAAGAGAGGGAAAATCTCATATAATTAATCTATTTGTTAAAACATGTTAAACAAAATACCTTAATATTTAATTTGACAATATAATACAAATATTAAAATTAAAATATACCAAATTAATATATCAAACTCCTTAAATTGTGTCAAATTATTACCTAAACTCTTGAAATCGAGAGCAATCTCAATCAAAATTCAAATTGATTTAGGCGTTTTTTGAACAAATGTATATAGTTTTTGTTGAGAATTGCTCTCAAAACCGATATCACGGCTTTCAAAATCGGAATTATACATTATCTTGTCTATTCCAAACATCAATCCTCGACGCCATCGACTGTCGGACAAATCCAATCGATGAAAATCCTCTTCATCGACCATTCACGTCAGAACTTTTCTCAAACTCGAGTTCAAGTCTTTAAGAGTGTAACTGTATTATTTTCTCGAAAAAAAACACAATCCTGAATCTTAGGTTTCAGTCAATGGGATTGTTGACATGGTTACCAAAGAATTGTATGTCTTCATCGATGTACTAATGTTGACTCACTCATCTATCTATACTAGATACGCGAATAATCGGACAATGGATGATGTCTTTATTAAGGGGCGACTGGTTGTACCGCCGCCACCCGCAAACGGAGCGGTTGCGATTTTCAGCGGTTGCGGGCGATTGAAAAATTGACTGGTTGAACCGCAATCAGTCGTAACCGCAACCAAACTTGTGTTTTCTAATCGCAGTTTCCAACTTGCGTTTTGGTAACGGTTTCCGGCGTTTTGACAAAAAAACTAAAATATTTTTATTAGAAATTATATAAAACATTAATATATATATTGCTGATGATTTTGTTTAGTGTTATGATTTGATATTATTTTTTAGTATTATATTTTAATAAAAAAAATACAAAAGTATAATTTTTAAGTTTAATAATGATTATTTTTAATAATTTTTATAATAAATTATTTTTAAATAATATTTTTTTTTGACAATTTATATCAAAACGCAATTGCAACCGTAATGAACCATTCACTTCTAACTGCACCCACCCGCAATCGCTACCAACAACAACTTTTCAACCAGTCAGTACTAATCATTTATAATCGCTATCAAACGTTTTGAAAACGCTGTCACCCACAACCGCAACCGCTGCGGTACAATCAGTCGAACCCTACTGCATTTTCGTGGTTCACATATGTTTCTCAGACAATGCATGTTGTCTTTATTAATGCACTTTCTTGGTTCACTTAGATTTGTTTCTTGCAAAATATACAACTGCTTGTGTAATAACCTAGATCTTATTTAATTAATTAATAACTATAATGATAATAAGTAATAATTAAAAAAGAGCTACGAAAACGTGAAACAAATCACGTACAATTAGGTGGCAAAATTGTTGATTGATTCGTGTTGCTTAAATATTTATGATTATTTTTATGTCCATGAATTATTGTGTTGATTTAATTGTTCATAAATTAACGTTCAAAAGTCCGAACCGGATCAGACTGGTCCCCGACCGTCCAAACTGAGATTTCAGACAAATAACACAAAAAATTAAATGTGAGATAAAAAATAAATGTTGGTTCGGATGGTCTGGATCCGGACCGATCCGGTCCTGTAATTGTAATAATAATAATAATAATAATAATAATAATAATAATAATAATAATAATAATAATAATAATAATAATAATAATAATAATAATAATAATAATAATAAATATCCAAAGAATAAATAAATAAATATATAATAAAACGGACAATCCAGAAATTGGACCGACTTGTTCTAACCCTAAAACCAAATTTAACCAAAATATGACTAAACTCGGTTTGAACCGGACAATATGTAGTTCAGACTAAACGATGCGACTGATGATTTAAAAGATTAAATAAATCCTAAAAATAAGAAAATAAATAAGAACAAGTTTAAAAGAAATTATGCTTAACTGTGTGTACGGTAAGTAATAATGCATGACCGTGTGATTGGGGAATCTTGTCAGGGTAGATGGCATAATACTGACATTATTCGGATGTGTTTGGGTAAAGTCCAGTGCATGATTGTAGACGAGGTTTGAGTGATATCATGATGATTGCTTTGACTGTAAGTCTTTGTTGTATGATATTCGATCCGGATAGATTATCATCCCGTAGAGACGTTATTGTGATTGTGGATCGCGCCATCGTTCCCTGACGAACGATTATGGCATCATGTGACTCACGTATTCGGGTTTTCGTGTGTCATCCGAATGCGTGATGAGGAAGTACGATTCTTTGGGCAACTGCGCCAACGTTTAATTGGTCATGGAACGGATTTCGGGTTTGCGTGTATCACTCCTTGATTGGCAAATAAACCAGAGACCTGGATTGTTGCGTGTGTCTCTGGCAAGATGGTACAGATATACTCTGAAAGACTTAAGTTCGAGTCTGATAAGTATTTTCTGAGCCGGATGGTCGGCGAGGAGGTAGCATAGAGTTGCTTCGTCCAACAGTCCGCGACATCGGGGATCGATGTCTGGAGTGGGTATGAGGATGACCGGTACCAAGAGCCATGATATCGGTGGCCGATGAGGTGTATGAAGATCATTTGAGGTCTTCGCAAACGATTTTGCTTAGACTGTTGCGCCTCGTGTTCGACACAAACATGAATGAGTTGTTGTATTTAGCTACGTGTCAGATACATGCAGAGACGATTAACAGATTTGTTTGAGATGGTTGAATAGTTCAACGGTGATTGATTTGATTGTTATATCTCGTCATATGTATACGTACAATACTGACTATATTGGTTGGCCGTTTTCAATAAAAATAAAAATTTCGGGTTACACCCGGATTTTTCTCTAAGCACGTAGCTTAGGACATTAATGTTTCAGGTCGTGAGTAACAGTCGTGACTGAGAATAATAGGATGGTGACTTTGTCTACGTGTGTAAACGTACTCATGTATATTATAATATCTTCCATTGTGTTATATTTAAAATGAGTGGTTTTAAATTTTCCACGATTTTATATTTCGAAATTTTCTGATTCTGATTTTATTTGTCCACATGACATAACCTATGAGCGGGATACGGATTACGGATGTCACAATTTGGTATGAGCACAGTTGTTTCCTCGAAAAGATTATGTGAAAACTTGATACCAAATAAAAATAAATTTAAAAGATTTTCAGAAACATGTTTTTAAAAGCTTTCAAAAGTATTTTTGACATGTTCCGAAAAGTTAATGCATGATCTTGAAGTCATCGGAAGTAAGTCTCATTTTCAATGTCTACATTGATTATGCCTCCACGAGGTGAAAGACTTGCATTTAGACTTGAAGCAGCAGAAGCACCTATCCCTGACCCTATGCCAGAGGACTTCTAACAGTTCTGCGAGAGGATATGACAACACTACCAGGCTCAGATGTCACCTCCAATAGCTTGAGCCATACCTGTGGCTAGACCGGAGTGTGTTCCACCACCACCTCCACCAGGTCTTTCAGCGTTTCATGCACCAGTAGCTGATCACCCCGAGGATTGAGGGTTCTCAGATTCCTAAGGTTGCTAAGGACTAGTTGGCGTGAATCACACATGACTTTGATTATCTACGGTGTTCGCTATAGTATCGAGTAGAGATAGTGAGCCACTATCTGTTCGGATAGGCTCGCCACTGGTGGGATGGAATTATGCAAGACGCTAGTCCTAGACATTAGTTCACGTGGGATGAGTTCCGAGCTGAATTCGAGGAAAAGTATTACAAGCGACACTGTTAGGAACATTGTCTCGTAGAGTTTATCAATCTCTAGCAGGGTGACCGTTTTGTTGGTGGCTATGATGTAGAATTTACCAA